AGGCATTAAGCGGACGCCCGAAACCCTGAGGTAGTTCAACACCCATCCTAGAGAGGATAATCACCAACTCTAACTTTAAAGTTCCAGGTAGAGACTGAAGATGCATCTTTTGGACTTATTTGACATAATTTAAAAGGCGCAATTTATAAACGGAAGCAGGATATGCAAGCCACACTAGAAGCCTCAAATTCAAGATAGGATGCAAAAGCCAGTAGGAGTTTTGATTTACTGAAACGAGATACCATCGTAAACACAATTTGTGATGATTGGCGAGTAGCAATTAAAGATTTATTTATATCAAATGGCAGGCGTCTTGATGGTTATCATTAGCCCTTTAGTTGACTTCAGGCTTCACAGAGGGAAGGAACATCAAAGTAGAAAAAAAGTCGAGAGGGGGGGGGGAACAGAAAAGTGTTTCAAAGATGTAAGAGACAAACACAAAGGTAGAACAAAGGTGAGGTGAATACTGTGGAAATAGTCGAATCTGACATATAGTGGGGTCATGGTAGTTTGAAGTCAGAAGTCAACTGCCGAATAATAGACTTTTTAGCGTATGTGAATACGTTGCCCAGGGTGCACCACGTGGAAGTAAGTCTATCGCACACCCCCGTAATTAAAGATAAGGTATAAGGATACTAGCTATTACAGGCTATAAGGAGGGGAAATAGCCCTCTTGAGAGAAAACACAAACTTATGCACAACAATTAATTTAATTTATTTCGTAAGAAACGCATTAGGACCTGTTGGTGAAGCGTATCCTGATGTAGATTAGCTTTCCTTCATGAAAGTCAACATTGAACTGAAATTTTATTAAGTGCATTTATGGCAACAGAGTCTAGATGTTCGATAAGACATGGGGACCTCAATTACAAACGAAAATTCCAGAATAAATTAATCTCATCCTGTTTTTCTTGTCTCCAATTCATGGTTACACTGAAATAAGCGCCTCTCTTTACAACCCGAGTATTCGACAAAAAAATTATTTACTCACCCAAGTAAATAAGTGACAAATTTGTTATTTGTTCAAATTTTGGAGGGAAAATGCTATTTCAAAAGGAATTTAAAATAATTTCACTTAACCACCATTTAGCTGTCAATTCTGTCGTTTGAAGTAGAAAACGCACTGTTTACAACCTCAGACATATATGCCAGTCTATGACCTTTGTTAACCCATTGTCCTATTGTAAAACAAAGCTCAAATTGAGTACTACTGCGGAGACAGAAAAAAAGACTTCAACTGATAATGCATGACATACTTTTCTGGTTAGTCACGTATGAAGTACTGGCAACACTGAAACTTGAGACAAAGAAAGCACACATGCATTCAAGTTAGAGCGGAACTCAAAAGGACACCTTTTCTACACGCACACCTTTCAATCAATTTTGACATTCAGTATAAAGGTGTGGGAATTTATGATAAGAAGAATCGAAATCAAATTTAATTACCTATCGATTTTGGACACCAGACTCAATTCTGTTTTTATTTAAATCGAGACAAATTTTCATTCTATCTAACTAATGCATAAGGCTTATTATTGCCAGACCCTTTTCCTACACCGGTTTTCTACCGATTTAAGGTGAGAAGCTTTAAAACCATTAAACAAGATAAAGCAAACTCTGAGACATGTAATCATTCAAGATTGGAGAAATGGCGTATCCTCGGTATTTTGCTAAGTGTAAATCCATTATCCAAATGTCGACAAAACGTAAATTAAATTGCAAATTTCATTTGTAGTCTAAAAGAGATACATAACTTGTGAAAATTAAAAGACCTCATGTCACATTTAGTTGGTAGTTAAATTACTTGAAAAAGGTATTCGATGAAATAAAGTATATCGTACCATAAAAATCGTGTGCGGATAAAAATTGGTATCATATGTTAGGAAAAAACTCTGGAAATCTAAAATAACGACAAATAATTAGCTCTGATTGAAAAGTATAGTTAATAAGGAAATCCATGAGCTGGAACTTAATCAATGTGTGTAACTATGACAACATTTGGCAGAGAGAATAAAGTGTCCAATTCGCACTATTATATTAAGCGACTCGAAATATTTCTAATTATGAATACAAAAGGTTAGGAAATAAAGCATTATTCAGGTATGTAGGAAAAACAGCGAATTCCAAATTCAGACGTCCCAACTACACTGTCAAGTGCTGTAAGCCAATAAATTTGAGAAGAAAGGATTCGAAAACAATTTTTTAATTAGGGGCATTTAAGTTAAATTGTACATTGCGTATAAATATAACGTACGTGTAAAATTTTAAGCAAGTACGAATTTAAATGAAAAATACATTTCCAGCAAATGGTTTTGAATAAAGGAAAAATATCATGGACAAATTTTATTCATATAATGCAATCTGGCTTAAATGCTAGACATATATTTAATTAATGTTTAAAATAAAATTAACATTTCACAATTAAAATAACATCATTTACTAATGGAACTATAAAAATGAAAATTTAAGCAATTTCTATAAAAATTCATAATTAAAAAATTGTAAACTCGCGGTGAATACCGGCTACAACCGCCGTTGGTTTGTGCGGTAATATTGTTTGACCTTGGAAGAAATTTCCGGACTCCTATAATATATTAAGCATCCTCAGAAATAAACAATCATGATTATCTTATTTAAAATTACTATAGGCTAATTTAATTTGAAATCATTTCTTTAAAACTTATTTTTCGAGTCAAATTGTGATATAATAATCATTAACCGATTTAGTCAATTTCGTTTCAATTATAAGAGATTGTTCGTGTGTTACGTCCATATTCTTGCCTTTATGAAATGCTACGCTAAGATAATATTTCAACCATAAAACCTCTCTATTAATCATATTTTATACACATATATGTTTATTTATTTATTTATCTGCTTAATTCAGTTTAACAGATATCAGCCAGTACCAAGCATCCGTCGAACTATAAGAAATGTCTAATCATTGTGGTTTTGTAATAATGAATACTAGATTTTCTAATATATGAACTTTATCCCTTCCATTCGATAATTATAACAAATGATTTTCTAATCACATATAAGGTTTAGTCACCACTGCAGTAGGTGTACAATTCCAACCATTATTTGTGGTTGAATTTTGATCCCACAGCTAGATTGACACCAATTTTGCCCATAAGATGTAAAGTGAAAATCATAGCCCAAAATGATAAAGGCGATGGACAGCTTAAGAATTTCTCAGGCTTTGAAACTGATGCTAGGAGATGTGTTTGCCAACGATTTAGTTAAAATCGATTTGGTCTTGGTTAAGATAATAAAGCATCCATGGGTCAGCCAATGATATCCAATAAGCGAATGGGTCAAAGCTGAAGAAAATAGATATTCTACCATTACATTATAACTCAACTTACTTTAACGAATTAACAAGACCTCAAAAGAACCTCAAGAAAAGTAGCCTCTCTTTCTAGTACCCTTGGATTAAAGCGCTGGACACTGTCGGGAAGCAGAAATGACAACCTTACTATAGGTTGTGCACCATTTCTCTCGTGCCAATTATATTGGGGCACTTGTGTTTGACCTCTTTATTAAATTCTTCCACCCTACGCCCACTTTTAACACTTTGAACCTTATCCAATGAGGTCTAGATGCCCTAATTCTGGGAGTATTAAAAACCCCTACCCTAAACCTGCTTTTCCCATTAGCATTTCTAGTTATTACCAATAAGTCATCTAGATTTCTTCGTACAACTTTAAATGGCCATATACTTTGCGTATATGAAAGCTAGATGCTACATGTTTTCCCCTTGATCCTATAGGCCACTTTCAATGCACTAAAATCAAACAAAACACGGCAAAAGACAACTGACTGTTCGAAAAATCCATTATATTAGCGTCGTTAATATTGATTGAATGCAACACAAATTCTCAAAAAGGCTAAGTAGAGTTCTACTTGGTAGTCTCTTGTTGTTCGAAGATCGGATAGTTTGCAAGTGCGTCGGCCCAAGAGACAATTCCGTTAGCCAAATCACTCACCAACTCGGGCAAATCTTCTAACTGAAAGATAGAAAAGCAAATCATCAATACATGCCCGCAAACATGTGAAGTAAACAAATTAATGGTCATACACTAGATTCTCATAGGTCTACAATCGAACTAAAGCCATTTAGGCATTTGTATGGTTTTCTTAATGATGTTATTCATAAATAAGGAAGAAACCACTAAGGGCTTACCGGTACACGGATCTGCTTCATGGTATCCCTTTCACGAAGTGTGGCAGATGATGGTGTTTGGTTTACTGTGTCGAAGTCAATAGTGATACCGTAGGGAATGGCAATTTGATCCGTTCGAGCATATCTTCGCCCGATCGATCCACTGCTCTCATCAACACGATGAGAAATTCCAACACGAGTCAACTTCTCAGCTGAAATACAAATCGGAACATTGACAGCGTGTATTGGAGAGGGGGTGACATAAGCGAATAGACCGAAACTTACAGAGTTTATGCACAAAAGGCGCGAGATCTTTGTGATTAGACAGTGGTAGAACAGAGCACTTGTAAGGCGCGATTATTGGTGGAAGAGAGAGGAACTGAGAATGTAAAGGTGTTAGTTATGGTGACGCAACTTTACTAACGAAATAAAGTTTAACACTAAACAACGCATTGCACAAATCGTCGGAGAGACAGAAATATAAAAGTGCAATTAAGTCTGTAACTGGTAGTTTTAAAGTGCATATTTAGTGAATGTCATGGGCTTAGTCTTATTCATGAAGTAGGGAGTCAAGTCAAAGAATCTGAACGCTAGACATTGTAAAGAAAATAATACTCCTAATAAGAACATGGATGACCTGTTGCTTTGCTAAGTAAGATCCGTAGTGTTTGTTACTTCAGTACTAGCCTGCTATTGACTCTAATCTAATTTCACACCCACTTGGATTCGTTTGCCATTCCGATAATTAGATGATTTACTAAGATTAAAATTCTCGGGGCAATAATAGCATAGGGCCAAATAAAACTAATTACTGCAACATACAAAAGCGATAAAATACTCGACATTTTAGGAGCTACCAAGCTGTAGAAAACAATGAAAGAGAACCAGATTGTGGAAACTAAGGTCGTAGCTGACGGCTAAAAATATTAATCAACAGTCTCAAAAATTGGAGCTCAACGAATTGAGTAGGCCAACGTGTAGAGAGAGACAGAGAATTGAGAGGTACAGAAGATAAATGACTTAGTTGCCTTAAATCCTACAATACTCAATTTTTTGTGCCATGATAACGAGTTAAAAGGATGCATCCTAACCAATTCAATTCAAGGACTGTATACACACAGGCACTACAAATCGAACTCACAGTTCTCTGTTCATCGTTTTCACGAGTATGGAAGTTTTGCTCCAAAATAGCATACATTATACGGCCAATTCCAAAGGAGGGTTCAATAACACTGGGCGTGATTTCCTCGACTAAAATTTGCGGAGTGGAAATTAAAGCAATGAAAAGATTGACAGAGCTGTGTAATAAAGAGCAGAATTCAAACGAACCGTGTATTGTTACTTCTTCACTAACAGTAACCATATCAGGGGTGATTTCGAAGTTGGAACCGTTGACAGAGAGCGTATACTTTCTAGGATAGAGAGGGAATTTAACATCAATACAAAATTGGACAGTGTGAACAAATGGCAATCATCTCTTACTTGGCCTTGAGCAATTCCTCATGGAGCTTGGCGCTTTCATCTAAGGTAAGTGCTTCAAAGGCTTTGAGAATCTGGGCCGAATCTGAACGAAAAGTTTTGCCAATCTTGGCCTTGTTTGGCACGCATTGAGTCTTCTTAACCTTCACAGGCTCCGGAAGGGGTTTTTCAGCAACCAATCGAACGCCGGTGACTTTTTGGTGTTGCGAGAGGTCATAACAGCTTCGATCAGCACAGCCAACACATTCGATCCAACCATAAGTAGTGAGACACTCAGCATCCCAACAATCACAGGCGTAATGGGCCATCTCGTTCTTCATGTGTTGACGGAAACGGCAACGATCAGGTTTCACGCCAACCATGTAGAGGAAGAGGTAGATGCGGGCCATAAAGTAGGCCAATGTCTCATTAGCGATTATTCCCTGAAAGATCATTCAAGAACATAAAACTAAACAACAAAAAATTCCATTTTTTAAGAAAAAAAACAACTTTCTCTATCGATAGCAAGATTACTGAAGGTGCGCATTTGCATAAAAACTATCGTAGAAAATAGGATTAAATATAATTTTAAAAAAAGCCATATCAATGAGAAAAAAATAATTTATGACGCCTGATAAAAAAGGCTAAAGATAGGCTTTATCTCTCCCGAAGGTATAAATGGATGCTAAGGAACATATTAACTATGAGACAAAAAGCCTTTATAATTTATGAGGTCAGATTATTCGTCAAAATCGCATTTTTATAAACCCGAAAGCAACCAATAAACAGAGGGAAAAATTTAAGGATTCATTCCAAAATTGGCCTCAGGTTATGCACCTTATACCGACATTAACAGCCTCCACCAGGTATTCCTCAACGAGGACATAACAAATTACTGTGTCAAGAATGCTAGGAAGTTCTCTTCGGAGATTTTGTAGTTCTCCAAATATCTCCCCTTCATACTCATTATCGAATCTTAATGGTGAGGAAGAGAGATTTGCAATCAATTAAATTCTGGGCACCCAACGACGTCTCATGTTGGTGGTCAAATCAGGGTGTGCTATAGCAAGCATCTTTATTTTTGGTAAGTGAAAGCAATCCAAACAAAAAAAGATTCAACAGATATCCATTTGAACGCCAGTGACCTCCCTCCATCTTGGAATTCGAAATTTTGGCAATCCAGCTCAATCACAGGTCCTATCATTACTTCGAATCATTCAGAGAATCACAATTAAGGCTTAAAGTTGATCCGAAGCCCAAACGAATAAAGAACCAACTAGGAATGACAATTTAGTCCCCGATATTCATAAAATTCGCACGTTTATTAAACTGTTTCTGTTGCCTTGCATAGTTCTATAATAAACCTACTTGGTTTACTGAGTTCTGGGATCTGTCCCCATTATGGAAACTGGTAGATCTTACCTTCAAAGAAATAACTAACCAAGTCT